ACGCCATAAGGGAACGTGGACGATCGCCGCTAACACCTAGTGACGTCCATCCCTCTAAGAATCGGAGGACCCGCTGTCGTATCGCTTGCCGATTGGCGGCAGAAGAGGTACCAGAGCAGTGGCCCAGCTGTACCTAGCTAGCGGTACGTGCCAAAGGCCAGACGCGCTCTATTTCCGCAGTGCGCCTCTCAGGCCTCGGATAAACGGTGGCTGACGGGAGAAGGTACAACACCCTTCTGAGGACGCAGGAACAACAGCGATACCTGCCGAAAGAATCCAGGGTCCAGCCATACTGAGAAGACTGCGACTAGTGGAGGACGCGCCTTCGCACCCGTAAAGCCAAGGCAGCGAGGCGGATGATCCCGTGGACCCTACCGACGGGACACCCAGGAGGCTGTCTTAATATTACGATACAGGGAAGAAGAGTTACCGTCGAGAACCGGCTTCGTAGATAGGGAAACGTGCACCTCGATGGAGTAACAGCATCCGCATCCTGAGGCAGAGCCAAGGAACCTCGTCGGGGATAATCGCTATCGTCTAATAATAGTATCTCTCGGCAACACGTCCCTAACGTGAACGTGATACAATAAGATTCGGAGATCTAACACTCAATATTGCCGAGAGAACTTATTATTCAAACACATTCATTCGATTCGATTGACAAACGCGCGATAAATATGTCCACGATGAGCAACATATTTACGCGAACACAGTCCCTTGCCGGCCGGCGGAATCTCGTACTCAAAACGAACGCGGTTCTACGAGTGGGAACATCTCCCACGTGCCTACAGGCACAATTCAACGACAAACGTACAAAACGCGGGGTGTTACGAGATTTCGTCGCTCACAAAAATTAACAAATCGCTTACCGAAATCTCTACGTATTTTCGATCTGGAGAATTGAGCCCGTATACGCGGCCTCGGACGGAGTCCGGATTCTCCACAGAAATTACCCCGGAAAACAAACGGTTTCAAAAACACGACTTGCGTCGTCGACGGTCCAAGCAAGAAGAAGGAAGTTGTCTTCCCTTTCGATCGTAATCGGCAGCACCGGAGAGTATCATCCTCTCCCTTATTCGGAACCGCCGCTGATTGGTCCTACGGCCCCAATCAGAAATCTCCGATCTGACACCACGCGCTACAATTCAAAATACGTCTTCGCGACAGTTCATACGATTCGGGAACAGCGATTACGCGCTGTCCCGCGATGGGCTCCGTCGTCCCCTAGGACTTCGCAACGGTTCACCAGGCGTCCCCGGATTCCCAGTTCGCGAGTCTTCGTTCCATTCGTCGATAGCGGTGGGCCTCCGTCATGAGTTATGGTGCGTTACAGGTGCTCCGTCGTTCGTAGGTCTATGTCACGCGGAAAGAGTAATAGCTCCCTGCTAGTTACTCGGTACGCGTAGACCAGTTCATGTAGCTCGGGTGATAGCGTGCCTAGAGTTGATCAAAGTTGCGAGGTGATTGGTGCGGTGAGCTGCAGCGCGCGCAGCTCAGGCCCTGCTGGCGCTCTGACGTCACTCAGCCTTTCATCCTCGTTCCTCCCACGCTGATGATCCCTCGCTGGTTCTTCTTGAGATTCGGTAAGCCCGCGAATACAATATTCGCGGCATGGGACATAGCAAAAATCAAAACAACAAAATCAGAAATCAACAAATTCGCAACTTCGTTAGCCCTTGAGGTGGTGGCTTCTTCCCTGGATTCTGTTTCTAATTCTCGTTTTCCCGCGTATCACTACAGTTCCCGCCGAGGACCTGACGGGGTAAAATCTACCACGTCACAATATATATATATATATGGGGTTCGTCAAAGCCTCAAAGAATGCTTTAGATATATATATATTGTGACGTACTGGACCACGAAAATGGCCCAGGATCTCGCAAGAACAGCTATCGCAAATACAGGGCGGAGGGATCTTGAACAGAAAAGGGAACACGTGGTAAAATAGAAAAAGAATATAATTAATGATTTAAACGCCGGTGTACAGAAGAATTACAAAATAGCGCAACGCAAAGGACAGAAAAGAAAAGATACTTAAAAAGAAACTAGGATGTTCGCAATGCAATACCGCCAAAGACGCAACTCTGGACTAACACGCAATCACTACAATACACGCGGGTGTTCGCTCGGGAGCACGCGGTGTCAGAAGAGACCTTTAAACGGACTAGAGGGCGAGGGGAATCAGGGAACGGGGGAGCAGGGTACTGGCAAGGGGGCAGGAGGGACAGGAGGGCTTACCGGCATTAGTTATCTCGAAAACAACAAATGGGCGCCAGCTATTTGTTCGGCGTAGCACCGTCGAGTGACCTCAGAAGGTCCTCGAATATTTACTCTAACGCGAAATGGCACGGCTAGCAGGGGAGGAGGTGAGGGGGTCTCAGGGAGGGAGGTTCCCGAACGCGATAATGGCTACTTACAAATACCTCGGGTTTCACAATATCCAAAACAGGCGGGTAAAGAAAAGGGCACGGGGGGGTTTGTCCAAAGAGGGTGCAAGATACTAAGTTCGAACGCACGCAATATACCACTGGCCGCACGCGGTTGGCGGAAGGCCAGACAAACTCAAAAAGATAAGCTACGCAAAAGGGCCGGTCCACGTGGGGACGGCTCGCCAAATCCAAAAGATGAAACTATTTTTAATGTAAAAGCGCAAGTAGGGAAAGGGGGTAGGGAAAAGGATGGCAAAAAGGGGAAACTCAATCACGCAAAATAGTACTCACTCAAAACGTGGCCCTATATAATCCAAAATACACGCAACTCTCCCACTCTCACTCAACTCGCAATTTTCACCACTATCTTGCACGCTACCCTGGCTCGAAGTGGAGATCTCTTGGCGATTTCCGGTCCTCGCTGTTTCCGTTCACAGGCCTCCAGGGCCTCGGGGATTGGTTGGATCGCTGGGCTGAGAGGGCTACGCGCTCTGGCATTGGTCGGCAGTTCCGGCATTGCAGGGTATTGGTCCTTTTCGCTGGCGGGCCTTCCAAGGCCTGGCAGGCGGGTGGTACGGCGCTGGCTTCGCAGGCGCGCGGGCTGGCTGTCGCGCACCAGGAAACATAGCGGCCTCCAGGCCTGTCAAAATTCCTCCCGGGCACATCCGCGGTTTCGGAGGAAGAGGGCTCCACCGCTGTCACACGGGCCTCTTTACTACTCGTGTGACGGGACTGCACCGGGGCTGCATCTCTGTGGCGATGGTGGCGGCTGGCGGGCATCATCGCACGGGAGACTTGGTCAGCTGTTCTTTCTGTCCATGCTATTCCTGCCTTCCGTTGCCTCGGCAACGTAGTCACTCTCGCGGTCCATCCAAGGATGATGTGTCCACGTAGATGGTCCACGGTAGCGGTCCTCGATGATGGTCCTCGAGCCAGTGTCCTACGGGGAATGGTGACAGGGAGGGAAGGGCGGAGGGGAGGGATCTTATCCTAAATACAATAGGCCTAAAACACTAAACAGACGCAATAAACGGTAATTCGCAATACAGTACGCAATACTCGTGCTCGGGGCCAGTGGTGCCCTCGAGCCAGGTGACGGGGAGGAGTTCATTGTAACATTTTTGTTAAAATATATATATTGTAACCAATACATCCGAGGATATTCGTATCGCGGTAATAATAAAATCCCGCTAACCCGAATAACCCTAAATATCAAGTAATAACAATTCGTAGGCATCGCGACGCTCAATTCTTCCGCGCCTCTCAGGCCCCCTGGCCTACCATTGACGGGTATATAAGCGGCGACGTTTCTCGACTCGAGCATTCTATCACCTGAGCTAGCTAGGTTACCTTTAGTAAAGTAAACGAGCAAACCGTCTCGGGCAAGCGGGCAAACCGTCCCACTTGACCATCATTTCTAGAGGTACTTCTACTCTTGTAATCGAGCAAACCTCTCGGGTAGGGAGCAAATCGTCTCCTCTGCCAGATAGAATCAATCTCTGCATTTTAGTTGGGCCGTCACTTTGATACATTTGATCATTTTGCCGTTTCCGCTATACAGGCCATCATAACGTTATTTAAAGACTTGCACAACTAGCTACTTTGCGAATGAGACCTCTCACCTCGCCGAGATAGCGACGTTGCTTTAGATAAGATCACGTCTACCTGCGATCACGAGTTCCCTAGTGGAAGACTACTCAACAGCACGACGTTTATATTCTAACGGGTCAACTCTGTAATCAAATTCCGCTGGTCGGAGGCTGCTTTCAGACACGATTCCATATTTCATTTATAGAAAAACAACAAAAGTCAAAATAGAATCACACGAGAGTAGACGGACCTATTATTTCCGTTCTCGTCATACCTATCGTGTAGGTAAACTGCGTCTTACAATCATATTGATACACTTTACTTTCCGAACACTAATATTTTGTATATATTTATGATCATTCTTACTTTCCGCTTGCGTTTATATCTATTCTTCGCTTACTAACATCCAGCATTCTCTAGGCTGAACCTGCACTAACACTGATTGTATTCCGTTGCAGGATAATATATTTTTCTTTTGTAATTTGTAAAACAAAATCTTACTTTCATTTGTTCCGCCTGATATTTTTCCTAAATTCCTAACAGTCGATTCTGGCTCGAACCCGCCTTTTTGGCACGATCCGGAGAACCGCATCGTGCGAATAAGGTTGCAATGTATATATAGCGTAAATAATACTCATCTAGGTTAGATATATAAGTAATGTAAGCAATTAATAATAATATGTATGTAAGAAAAAATATATATATACAATATAAGCCTATACTACTACTAGTATTTAAGAAATGAGGGTAACCTCCCCGTACCCAACCCGCACCAGGGTGTCTCTATGGGCTTCATAGAATAGGACACATCCTCGGCATGCACCGGGTGCGTGCTCGAGCAATACACTCGGAGCACAGGTTGTGCACCGCCCCAAGTTAAACACCAATGCGGTGTCGAGCAGCAAATAATGTACACTGTGGGGGATGTATAACGGCTGCACGTCCGACGCTAGCCCGCTTACGCACCCGGTGCACAGCTCCTCCCAGCGGTAGGCGTGAATTAAACCGTGGAAGCACAGGCCGTTGTGTAGGGCCTCATAGAATAAGTCGTCGGGCCTTGGCGTTGGGGAGGCCCGGTTCCCACCCAGAGTCTCCTCATCCCTACTCATAGCAGAGCGTGGGGCCATTTCTAAAAACAAGTGTGAAAAACGAGAGTAAAACTAAGGATTACAAAAAAAGTACATATATATTGTAACGACGAATCGCACAAATAAAGGCACCGCGAGAAAGGATTAATAAACTCTTCTATTACTGGGCACCAGGTGTACCGCGAGATACACCGCTGTCTCCAGAGGATACCCCGGCCAGCTCTTGTGCGGTGGGGTCCTGGGTCTCGGAGACAATAACTTAACCTGAAAGTTAATAAGCAGATCTGAGGTTTCGTTTAAAAGCACGGAACCCACAAACGGGTCCGATTTATTGAACACAAGAAAAATAAGACAAAAGATAATAAAAGAAGATAAAATATAAAATTTAAAATATAAAGAAAATCAGATAATGGAAAGGCGTAATAACGGAATACAGTATGGAACAACAGTTCCAAAATAATAAACGTGAATGGGAACAACGGCCGCTTCTAAAATACCATAGATGCAACGACACAACTAATAAATCCCCGAAGGATTAGCTGAGCCCGAATTCCTCGCTCGGAATTATTTCCTAGGAGGCCGGTCACTTCCCGCAACAATGTGCGCGTTAGATAATACACGCGCCACGAGTATAAGCAGTAATATTTACAAAGTCAGCTGACGAGTGGCCTAGTGCCCTACTCGTCGGCTCCAATATTTACAAGTTTGAGCGCGGTAATCCTAACGGTCCCTGACCTTACACCGAATTCCTAGATTCCCGGCTAGGAATCTAAATCTTTATATTGGCGTCTCGCGTGTATAGCCTATCCCTTCACAGTTAATCCTACGGTCGGAATCAGCTCCGGAGACCTATTACCTTCCTGAAAATATCAGTCAAAGAATACGCAATCCCCTAACCGCCTTCCTCACACCCGCGGATATGGCTAGGAGAAACAAGTACCACTGCGCGGCACTTCGGCTACATAACGTGCGACCGGAACGATTACGCGTAGCGTGGACTGGATATTAACAATTGGCATGCAGGTTCTTCAAACATGCCCTACAAATAAACAAACACAAAAAACTAGAAACTATATTTTGTTGCGAGATAACGGATCCTCCAGATCGCCACCGAATTCGCAACCATTGAATCTCAACAATCGTATAAGCGGAAAGCGACACGTGCTGTCTGGATCGAAGATCCAGACAAAATTAGGAAGCTCGGTAGCGTCACTCACCCAAAATAGCCTTAGCCAAATCATCCATATTCTCCGGATTCATAGTTCTCGCTCTCGTTCTCTCTCTCTTTCTCACTCCTTCACTTTCACTCTACACTTTTGGCACACGCACGTACTGAACGTTAGCTACACCGCAAGTGACGCTACCCGATCGCTCGCCCACTAACGTGCCCTAGTGGCGCGGAGGAATATTACCCTTGGGCCCAATCAAATTTCCGCTAGTCCCTACGCGGCCCAATTCGCCCGCGATCTTCAATTGTCTATGGGATACTCGAAAAGTAGATCTGCGCATCTTCTCCTCTTCTGGGCGATTGCCGTGTCTTCTCTCGGGGCGGGAATCTCATCCGCAACCTATACCTCGATGTACGGCCCCAGGCCGCCACTGCAACCCTCGGATGCTGCCCGAATCTTCAATCTTCTCGCGGCGTCCTTCCGCGTAGGTGGCCTCGCTCCGTGGTGCTCTGCGGTCGCGCTGGTCCTCCTCCTGCTAGCTACGTCACGCCAGTGCTGCTGATTGCACTGGTCGGGCCCCTTTGCTGTAGTCAGGGCCGTTGCTGCTTCTTATTTCTCTCCGATCGGTTCCCTTACAGGACCGACCACCACTAGTAACATTCAAAATACAGACCCCGAAGGGAATTAATAAATATTCTACACGCTAAATTCAGTCCACGCTCGACGTAAATGTTAGGTTGCCTTGCGGACCTCACGGTGTAGCTCCTATTTCGCCTTTTTCCTCTTTCTTTTGTGACGTGCACAAAGTACCACGTCACAATATATATATATATATGTATAACCTACAATTTAAATCCGGGGTGGTGGAGGGACCTCAGCAGCACCCTGCCTTAATATCAGGTCCCGGTTGTCGCAACAATAGCTTATACATGCTATACAATCTGCGGGTGCATACGCGTGCATCACACACAGCTCGCAAGCGTACATATATACCTACACGCAGGTCTATTGCAGGATCTAGTTGTAGGTAATGCATTACATGAGGCGTGTACGCTGCCCTGTCTTCGGGTGGCTGCACGCGCATGCACCCGTAGCACTCTTCCTCCACACCCCGTACGTACAAACAACCGAAAAAACACTGCCCTTCATGGAAGGGGGCGAAGAAAGCGTTTAAGGGTGGCGGTATGCCATCTAGCAGTGGCCCCTCAAATGGTTCCTCAACCCCCTCGGGCAGTATATCAGGCGTCCGTGGTGCCATAATCTGTAACATTTCAGTTTTTTAATAAACATGTTTAAAGCAAATACAAAACCATGTAGTCTTAAAATTATAACACTTACCGATCTAGTAATGCGTTGTTGGGGCTATTGCAGGTTGCGGTGATGATGGTGGTGGTTGTGCTAGAAATAAAAATAAAGGGTGTCTAATGTATAAAATTTTTTAAAAATCAAATTAAAATCTGTGCAAGCCTAAAAATTATTATACTTACAATTTCGGTAACAACCGGCGGTAAACAGAAAGCTCATGCTTTTTCTTTCTTTTTGCTAATGTCTAGAAATAAAGGTAAAAGATACCAGATATAAAATAAATTTTTTCAAATCAAATAAAAATGTGTACAATCTTAACACCACTATAGATACCACTTTTCTTTTTTGTCTCCACTTTTTTCCCGGAATTATCCTAGAACCAGGGTAAACATTAGATGAAATAACAATGGTAGAAATTGAAAACGAGAAAAATATTTTTTTTTTACACCTACCGCTGGTTTTAAACTGTTTTTGTTTTTCACTTCTTTTTTATTACCACTTTTTTTTATTTACTTGTATCTCGCAATTGCCACCAAGGTACTGACGAGATGCTGCGAAGATATCTCACAGGTAACCATCTTTCTCCCCACCTTCCACCCACTCCTACACTTGCGCTCCCTAATTTTTTGCATAGTTGCAAATAAGAGACACATGTAGCAGTTTACGCTGCTAAGGAGAAAGAAGGGTAACATCATTCCAACAGTTACGTGGTATGTGGAGGATTCACCCCGAGAAAAATATTAGGGGGTTGGATATCCACCCATTGATAGCTAAAAGTATCGAAAAAGTATCGCCAATACGTGCGATACGTGTATAATATAAGGTATTTCTTACAAAAAAAGAACCGTATTCTACTTTACCACGATACCTCCTTAGGGTTGTTAAAAAGGTACCGACAAGGGGTCAGTGATTAATTACCGACCGTAGTACGCCCCCTGGGGACATGCAACACCGCTGGGCATTTTCGGGTCTTAGGACCGCATGGTGGGGCATCCCCTCATAGCTGAGGGTTAGGGAGAGCTGCTCACATCGGCGAGGCGGGTGACGTCATAGCGCAGCGTGGCGAGTCAGAGCGCTATGCGCTCCATGACTCATGGGGGATAGTGGTGGGGGATTGTTGTGCCGGCCAGAAGTGGTGTATAACTACTTACCTCCATGCCTCCTCACATCACCACCCTTCTCAGAAAAACTCTGTCATCAACTCCCTTATGTACCGGGCTCTAACTATTTCTCAACCACAACACTTGGATACAGAAATCAAACATCTTAACGAAGCCCTTAGTAGGAATGGATACCACAGCAAACAAATTAACCATGTATTACGTTAGCTACAAAATGAAAATTTATCCCCATCTTCTAATGAATCAGCCGAGCAACAGGAAATCGTAGCTCTACCGTATCTTTAAGGTACAACAGACCGGATCAGCAAGGTGCTATGGAAACATAACATCCATACAATCTTCAAACCCCCAAAAAAGATTGGACTAATAATTCCCAGTACGAAAGACCGTAGACCACCACTGAGTGCTCCAGGAGTATACAAAATCCCTTGCTCCTGTGGAAAAGTGTACATAGGTGAAACCAGGAGGAAAATCAGTCACGGGTCAAAGAACATCAACGGTTTACCAAATACGGTAATTTTTCTCAATCTGCCTTCGCAGAACATTGGATGGACACTGGACATTCAGAGGATCATGAAAAGACAGAAATGCTAGCTAGTTCTACAGGTTACTTCGCCCGAAAACATCGCGAAGGTTTAGAGATATTAAAACACCCAGATAACCTAAATAGGGATCGAGGATATCAAGTAAACCCCATTTGGCACACCGTCCTCCCGGTTTTCTAATTGACAAACTTATGATCGGCTGAAGCACTGATCCGCATGAGCAATCATAGGTATATTAAGACTTCCTGACAACAGGGAGCTTCAGTATCGGAGCCTCCTAGACCTGAAGATGCAGACTGAAACGTTTGCGAAACGTCGGCATGAAGCTGAACACAGACGCGGCTTCCATCCGGAAACCATGAGTACTAATATGAGTTCTGCACTCAAATATAGTAGTTCTTCAATAGTTATAAGGAAACAAGACGCAACACGTCTCATGTTTATTTTATTACTATGAAGGATATTGCGGGAGAGAATATTGTGAGTTATTTTCTATTAACTTTTCAGTCTAGTTCATCATTGGATGAAGAGATTAAGCTACTGAGGGCAGTTGTTCTCACGAAGGAGTCATATGTATTTATATCGTTTACTGAAAATCATTTAACAAAAGTAGGAAATTTCATGGTTATAGCACTGCTATGGACGGCGTTAATACGGGGCCAGCACCATCACCACCAACCACCACCACCACCACCGAGTACTACTTGGCGGGTCCGTGCCAGGAATTCCAAAGTACTTACTTTGCACGTGCTCATAGTATTCTAATGCTGTATGTTTGTTATTAAGCTTTTACCGTGATTATTTTTGACGAGCTATTGTTAATATGCTTTCTATAGAAAATTGGTACTGGTTTTGTACCAAATTTATATCTCTCAACTACGTGTTGTAATCAGTGCCATCTGTTATCTAAAAAAGTAGTTGGAGGTACGAAGACGACGACGATGACTGAACTGAATTAAAATCATCTCCTTTGCTATTTCAATATGCCTTGATCTCGTACAGCAATTGTTTAGATCTTGGTGCCGATCGATTCAGAACGGGAAACCTAAACAAAGAAAACTATGCAGAGGTACACTTGAACACTCTGAACTCTGTACTTGGCGCGAGACTCGACCGAGTCTCTTGATTACCAACCCATCCAGAGTACAAATAGGTAAAGAAGGCAAAGCGGTCAGCGCCATCTGGCGTGTAAAAAATGCGATGGACGTGCGAAGACGACGACGACGATGACGACGACGACGGAACTGAAATAAAATCATCTCGCTCGCCATTTCAATACGCCCTGATCTCGTACACTAATCGTATTGAACTTGGTGGCAATCGCTTCAGAACCTTCAATTCCTATAGTGAATGTATCAATAACTTTTCCTCATATATAGCGGTTCATAAGATATTTCGTTTCAAACACAGGTATAAGGAGTTGACTCGAGTAAAGAGTCTCGGCGCGCTGCGCCCTGTACGACCGGATGCCTGTACTTGGCGCGAGACTCGACCGAGTCTCTTGATGTCGGTGGCACTCATCAGTGATAACTAGCGTACTACGAGCTTTCGAATTATTAATGACATTGAGAATGGAAAACCAACTTGAAAAATTGTCTAACATATTGAAGTGTATGCAAAAATGTTTAGAGTGTGTGATATGGTAAGTTTGTCAGTGAAGCGTCATACTTATTCATTTAACGGGACCGTCTAAAATTTTAAGGTTAAAATAGTCACGAATCTTGTATCATAAAAGTATACATCTGATTAGAAAAATTATTTCATAAGCATTTAGCATTCAAATAGAATTAATTATTTTGTATAAAATATTCTATACATGGGAAAAAAAGGAAATGCAGTAGTATTTTGATAACTATTAACGTAAATGTTAAAGTTGAAGGGAAGTATGTCGTATATCAAACAGTTTGGTAAAACTGCAAATACGGCTCCTTCTTGAACATTTAATAATCTACAGCTAACTTCAAGAAGGAGTCGTAGTCCATTATTTAGCTAATGCATGTTTCATAGGTGAGGAAATGTATATTAAAGAGCTGTAAACTATTTTTAATTCATGTTAATAAAATAAAGCATGGACGATTAGACTTCAAGGGTTATCATATCCTATAATTGTGAACTTGAAATGTGATGAATTTTATAACAATAAAATGTAAGATTTACATGATTTATTTAGATTTAATTATTTTATTTGTTATTATGTCATATATTTTTTGTATTATTTTAATTTCTATGTTTATTATGACAGTTTGGAGACAATAACAATTCCAGTACAAACAAAATGTGGTCACTTGTTTTGTAACAATTGCATTATGACTGTGGCAATAAAAAAAGGTGCAATGTGTCCACTTTGTAAAGAGCCTATTTCACGGCGAAGCATTTTCATAGATACACAAGCAAAAGAACTCAGTGTAAGATTCGAAGCTCTCTTTGATGCGATACAAGCTGATACAGGAACTGATAGTAAGTAATAAAGCATATAAAAAAGTATCTGTTTTATCTTCAAATAACTTTTTTCAACTTGTACAAAAATATTGTCATTCGATTCATAATACTCAACATATTCATTACAAAATAATTTGTGGTAGAAAATATTGTTTATGAAAGAAGGTATCTTTATTGTTTATATCTTTGTTGTTACATATATTTGATTAGCTGGTCTAGCTATTTGGTGTAAACTCATAGGATACATGGATAAACGTTGACTTAACTAAGACAAAAAGTTTTAATTTCTTTCGATTTGGTTGAAGTTGGATGAATTTCAGTGTAACATAGAGATATAAGTATGAACCAGTTATATCAACAGAACTCACAAGTTCAAAGTCGCATCATCAGCCACTATGGCCATTTTCCATTAGAACCAATAAAAGACTAAGTTTTTTGTTGAGTTCTGTTGATTCAGTTTGAGTAATTGGAAAACCCCCAATATTGGATGGATGTATACTATTATTTCAAATTGCTGTAGTAGGTACATATTTTATCAAATTAATTTTTAAATTACATTATTTCAGAGAAGTTCGAATATTTTTTTAAAGCTTCTTCGAACCTTGAATTATGATGTCACTAGCTATAACATTTATCTATTATAGAAACTAATTATTGTTTGAGACTTACTCTGACTGTAGTTTCGAAAACCGCATACCTCCAAACAGTATGGTTTTTTGTATTCTGACGTATTTTGACGTGCTGATGACGAATATAATAGTGAAAATACCCGCAAAAGTAATTTTGAACAAATGGCCATTTTTGAAGAAAAAAAAATACTCTTGATATTTTTTCAATAAATATTGATCTTACAGAAAAAAGTTTTAAGTAAAAATTCTAGCTTGTAAAAAATTACATCTTCTATATCCTATGAATTTTTATTATAAAACAATTATTTTTCGAGAAAAATGAGATAAAGTTCAGAGAAACAAACATTTGTAAAAAGGAATTGTAATAAAGAATAATTATGATTGATAGATTTTGTCACTACTATTCCATTAGTTTCAGTACATTTAAATTGAATTTTTCCTTTTAGTATTTTTTTTTGCTTTTTGTATTTTTTATGTTAGGTATTTCTCACTTGTATATTTTAATTAACAAATATGTTTTTTTATGATTTATATATTTTTTGTCGTCACTAATGTTTTTTTTAATTTTTTTAGGTTACGGGAGATATTTGTGAGCAAAGCCCATATTCATTACGTCCTTTACGTTGTTTAGGTTTTTTTCGGTAGGTTAGTTTTTTGCTTATTTTATTTTTTTTAGAAAGAGTTTTTAGACAGGGTGGATTTTATTCTTAATCGCAAAGTGAGCTTGCAAGCGAAGCCCTCATTCATTAGGTTCTTTAGATAGGTAAGTTTTTCGCTTATTTAACATTATCTCATTTTTCTCGAAAAATAATAGTTTTATAATAACAATGCATAGGACATAAAAGATGTAATTTTTTACAAGCTACAATTTTTACTTAAAACTTTCTCTAAAATCAATATTTATTGAAAAAAATATCAAGAGTATTTTTTTTCTTCAAAAATGGCCATTTTTTTTTAAATTAATTTTGCGGGGATTTCCACTATTATGTTCGTCATCAGCACGTCAAAATATGTCAGAATACAAAAAACCATACTTTTCAGAGGTATACTGTTTTCGGAACTTTATCCCTTACTTCTGGACTCATTCTTTTCCTTATATTCCTCATATTTCCTTATATTATATGTTTAAAGATTTTGAATTTGACTATAACCTTGAATGTGAGGGCGATCGTATTTTATTGCGTAGTCTCGCTAATTTTTACTAGAAGGATTGGGGTTCGCATTCTGCTTCCAGCGGCATTTACCAATAGGTTTTTCGTAAAAGCCTAATTGAGTACTCATACGGATTTCGTCCAAAATTGTTTGGATGCGGCGTCTAAACTCTGTAAGATCATCACATTTGTCTTTATAACGTTTATCTCGCGAGGTACATTGCTAAATTGTGTGAACTCCTCATTCTAATTTTCTTGCATTAGTTACTAACGCATATCTCATTGGGGATAAAGCCAGAAGGAAAAAAAGGAAGGAACCTTGAAAATAAGGAAATAAATTACAATTTCCACGCGCCTTGCCTAAAATATCAATTTTATTTCACATTCAGAATACTTTTCATACCAAAACAGAGTACACATGGAAGAAGACAGATCGAAAATACATTTCATTTCAATTTCACGAACGAAATATGTCAACCAGCTCAGAAAGGTGATACGATTTGTGCTCTTCGACATTACTTTTTCGGTTAGAGATACAAATACGAATTTCGTTTGATGAGATCATTATAAATTCGTTATCCACTACGGACCGAAGTATGAATTTAAAATTTTTATAATTTTAAAAGAATTTTTATGTACCTCATCTGAAATATACTAGTATTGCATGTATAGCAAGTACTATATTAGACATATGATCAGGACTGTAAGCAATGGATACAATAGTAATTTCATTACACTTTTAATTATCCATACTTTTTGTAGTATGTAATGAAATTTATATCAATTACAAATTATTTTTATAATGCAATTTTATTATCGGTACTTGGCATTAAGGGGCACCACTAGTGTGACTGCCTAAAAAAGAGACGATTTTCGGGAATTTTTTTAAAGAAAAGTATTGCATCGAATGTCTAAAAATTTTGAGGATATACATATATTTGTAGATAAATAATGTAAACATAGTAATTTTTTGGAATGAAAATATTCGATTTTCAGCAAGTTATTCGCCATCTCCCGAGTCTCTAAAAAAAACTTTCCCCCACTGCTGCAGTTATTGCGGCCTTCACATTGTCTGAAATAAAAAAAAAATAGTTCGTTAAATTAGAAGATATTGGCTATACAATGACCCAGGATTTTGAATTGGAATTTAACAAAATGGCAGTTTAAAAAAAAAAGTTTAAAATTTCGCTAAAAAATCTTATGGTTTTTGGCATGGTAGAATTACATTTTTTATCCAATCGAAAAACTGGAGGGTCATTGTATGGAGAAACAAATACTAAATATGCTAAAACAAAAATCCAATCGATCGGATGATTCATTATCGAGTTAGAACTGCAGCAAATTTGAAAAGTGTAGTTTTGAGAAAAACGCGTTTAAAGATAAAAGTATTGATTTCATTGTTATAAATCGATAAATATCATATCTAGCGCTAATCTGCTATTCCAGGCCCATACAATTCACCTTCCTCTGCTTCAAAAAGCACCTGCTGGGCTGTTGAAGCTCTCCTTCGAGCTGATCGACCCTCTTTCGAGGCAACTTGGTGACGATGCACTGCTATGCGTAGCCTCTTTTCTTCTCTGTCAGCGGCATAACCTCTTGCTGCAGGTTCAATTATCACTCCCATCACATTTAACATTTTTGGAATTGATGAAAAATCATAATTGAATATTGTAACAGCAAGATAATTCAATGATCTTGAAACCACTGTAGAGGTGTTTCGAAGCAAAGTGCCAGAGCAAGTTCTTGTAACTTTCGTTGTTATTTTGCGTATTATTTCCTTTGTATCTGTCGGATAACTCACGCCTAGTGAAATCCACGTATATTGGCTTCAGTGCTTCTTGAACCTTTAGATCAAGTGGGTGGTAATCGTGCTTGAACTTACAAGGAGAAGATGAGGTAACCGGATCAGGGATTTTTTTCATATTTATGGTACATACAAAGTAGAGAGCCCCAATAATACATTAGTAAATTCATTTCGCTAGATGATTGGTCATTTTTGAGAAAATCGATTTTGAAAATTAGATGTAGACAATGGAAACAGTGAGCGGGTGGCTCAGTGGGCAGCGCTTCAGCTTAGTAAGCGCAAGGTAGCTGGTACGGGTCTCGCTGCGTGCGTATCATTTTAATTTTTTTTTCATCCTACGTTTATTGTAGGTGAAAACATTTGTAACGAATCACAATTTGGTTGCAAAATAAAAAAGATTGGGTTAGAAATAAATCATTTTTTTATTTTTCCAAGTTAAAGAGAAAATGAAATGGTAGAGTACTGTTTAACAATAATGTAAATTTATTATAATTTTACATCGGTAACTGCACCTTCCGATGTTTGTGCTGGAGTTTCACATGAGCCCGTATGGTAATCGTCGTAAAAACACGGGAAGCAAAAGGTTTTGCGACATCTAGCACACTGGACGTACTCTGAACTTTTGCAGCTACAAGGCATTTTTGAAATGTCTATCGGAAAACATTATTGTTAGACAGTACTCTACCATTTCATTATTTCTCTAACTTGGAAAAATAAAAAAATGATCTATTTCTAACCCAATCTTTTTTATTTTGCAACCAAAATGTGATTCGTTACAAATGTTTTCACCTATAATAAACGTAGGATGAAAAAAAAAAAATTAAAATAATACGCACGCACCAAAACCCGAACCAGCTACCACGCGCTTACTAAGCTGAAGCGCTGCCCACTGATTGTGAGCCACGCGCTCACTGCTTCCATTGTCTACATCTAACAAGAGGAGGGCGCGACGTTGATCACACAGATTTCAGAGTCCTTTTGGGGTAGGAAAGTACTTTGTAGTAACAAACTACAGACTAATCGGCAGGACCCGACGCGGAGCCGTTTTCGAAAAAAATCGGTTTGAAAAACGCAGCACTATTCATATACCTGCACCGTTGCTAGTGTTTTCTAGAAGGCAGCGTAGCTCGGTGGCAGCGCACCTGACTAGCACGCGAGCGGCCGGGGTTCGACGCCCGACCACAAATTTACTTTTTTTTTTTATATTCATTTTTTTTGCTACCCGACAGCCCATGTTTATCTACCAACAATTTTGTCAATTTAAGTACGAAATGAGTGGATTAGAACACTATTATTTTTCATTATCAAACACTGATTTATATCACGCATCGTATTTTTCTCTCGAAAATTCGCAGCGGAAGTGTTGCGAATATTGATAGCGTGTGTGAGTTTGGGTGAGAGTGGTAGAGTGAATTGGATATTATTGCGGATACGGATTGATTGAGTACAGTTTTGCGTATGGTTGCGTTTTCCTTTCCTCTCCCTACCCCCTTTTTGCTAGTTGCGTTTTATATTTCGTTGTTCCCTTCCGGACAATAGCGAGCCGTCCCACGTAACCCGGCATCTTTGTAGTCCTTTTTTATTCCAGACGGGACCAAAAGCCAAATTTTGCCCAAAAGATCTAGGCCCGTGGTATATTGCGTGCGCCCTTTTTTGAAAACCCTCTGTGCCCTTTCTTTCCTCATCCGTTTTCGAGTATTGTAAAGCCGAGGTAATTTGTAGGAAACCATTTTGCGTTCGTGAACCTTATTCCCTGAGACCCCTCACCTCTTCCCCCGCTAGTCGCGCAATTTCAAATAGAGTAAACATTCGAGGACCTCCCAAGGTCACTCGACGGTGCTGCGCTGTAGAAGTAGCTGGCGCCCAGGTGTTATTTTTGCGTATTAGTTCGTGCCGGTAAGTCCTCCTTGCCCCTCCTGTCTCTCTACTCCCCTTCCCACTGACCAGTTTAAAACCCTTCGACACCGCGTGCTTCCGAGCGAGCACCAGCGTGTATTGTTTTGGTTGCGTGTTTAGTTTTGTATCACGTATTATAGCCTAAGTTATTCTATTTCGAGTTATTATATTTTCTTTATTTTTTCGGTCCTATTCTTGGTTCCTCTTATTTTTTTAAGTATATTTTCTGGTACACCGGCATTTTTTTGGTTAATTATACTCTGTTAGCCTTAAGGGAGATCCCTCCCGTATTTGAAATAGCTGTCTTTGCGTTGACCCTGGGTCAATTGAACCGAGCTCGTCACAAATTATAGCCATTTGTTTATGAAGAAATTTTTTCGCTGGATAAAAAACAGGCTGTATTTTTAAACAGCACTATTCAATATTTAGACGGTCGATTTGTAGAACATTTTTCAGGAAACAGAATAAATGGCCCCACATTTAAAACGGTAAAAAATTACGGACTATTTTTGAAAAAACTCAACGAAAACATACTTTCTCGGAGATTACCGTTAATTAGTTCATGTTTTTACAAATTATTCAGCATTAATGTTCCTGTAGATTAAGGACACATGTAATAATACAAATGAGACTCAACCAATGTTACATAATGCATAAAGTTTATAAAAACGATTACTAAATATCAATACAGATTTGATTAGTGTGAAGCGCTCCAACCTCCTTAACGAGTGCAGCGTGTATACTTGAAATATGATTCCTACTGAGGCGTATTAACGACATATCCTTGTAGTCAGCTCGCGACTTGACCTTTTATGTATGTCCTAAGGTGGTAATGTAGTCTGTGGCCTATATGTGTCGAGCCGATGGCTAATGCGAGTCAATGTACAGAGGTTTGGCTCTATGGAGTGATTCAGGTGATCGCTACTGACTAATGGTTGTCGCATTAGGATGCCTTATACATATTTGTTTTGTGACATTTAGGCACAGCTCGTCATCACTGATTCACATAAGCATACATTGACAGTTTTCATAGCAATAAGTTAGATTTTTGAAATATTTCAATAGTTAGGTTATTAAAATGATTAATAATCTCCTTCTGCCACTGACTAAGGGATAGGCGAATACAACAAAATTCAACAAGGTCCTCAGGTTCTCCATCATTCTCTGGTAAGCCTTTTCGGGGTCCATATCCTATTTATAAATTTTTAAAAATTCCCAGAAATATCCTAACGCTCCTGTGAATCTTTTTAGGTACCTTGATACAGTCCAGAGAGTCCTTCCTTCCTTCCTTTCCTTATGGCTGTATCCCCAATAGGGGACATGTGCCAGTAACTGGTCCTAATAATCAAGGTTGGAAGTTCGATAATAGATGACGATGTACCTTGCGAGACGGGCCTTATTCAACGCAGCGTGAGGGGACCTACAAAGTTTATACACCGAATCCGAACAGTGTTGGGTGAAATCCGTATAAATACTCACTTAAGTTTTCATATGAAAACCCATTGGTGAATGCCGCTGGAAGCTAGGCGCAAACCTGCAACCTTTCGGTCGTGAATCTGTTACCCTATCCACTGGGCTACGGCTGCCCCATAGTCCAGAGAGTCATCCTGCTTCATTTCATTCTGCCATTGATTAAAGGAGCGGTGAACTCTTTGGTAACCCTCTTCTACGTCCCTAACGCACCGCTAAATTCCTAGTAATATTCTAACACTTCTGTGATTTCTATTTACATATCCTGAAACTGTCCTGACAGTTATTACAGTCTGTTGTACAAATAAATCTTAACTTATATTACATTTTGTCATTTTTAATTAATTATTTCAGTAACCTAATCATTAAAATATTTCAATAACCTCTTATTGCTATGCGAAGTGTCAGTGTACGCTTATATTATGAATTAGGGACGGTGAGCAATGCCTAGATGTAATTTTTTTTTTGGAGAGGCCATACTGCCATGTCGGCCACTTTGACCCAACTTCAGCTGGATGCATTTATGCTGAATAACTATATAGGTAGCATGATAGCTAGATTAGTGCATAGCAATCCGTATGCCATGTTCGGGGTAATTTTGAGGGGCGTCGTTGGTCTTGCGGAATTTGATGACAGGAGCATGCGATTGCATTGAGTGTCTCCCTAATAGATAATAAAAAAATTAGGTCATAATATGACAACTAATTCTGAAAGAATTTGCGTTTCAATGTAATTCAATGACACAATTTCACCAATGTTTATATTACAATATGAAAATAATTAAAAATTGTATGTGAGTCCATTCGAAAATTATGTAATTTGAAATTATATGTTCATCCAATTACGCAAAAAGTAATTGGTAATGCATTTAACTTATAACCTTGTGGAGGCTGCGGCTGATCTGACAAATACAAACAAAATGTTTGTATGGCTAAGTATCCATTACATAAATAATTCATATTTCATGTTTAATTTAATTACAATTTTCTCATCCCTATATATAATCTACTGCAGTAATTTCACAGACAGAGACATACCTCATATTATTTATTGTTACAAGACAAAGCCTTATTAAATTATTATCACAATGTGTCACATATGTTATTTTATATTTTCCGATCTGGATCTATAGGAACCCTAATAATGCTACTTTACACAATTTATTAATTAATATGTGTGTATATTTGTAGTCCGCAATCACGTGAGTAAACCAGGAAATGAACGGGAAGGAATTCGAACGCCATATAAATCAAACACTCTGATCGAACGAAAAAACATCAGGATGAACGCAACCAAATCACATCTACTAAGAAATGCGAAGAAAAATAAAGCAGCAGCTGGACCCATCAATTTAAATGAATCAGCAAAACCTATAAAAGATTCTGAAAATATTAAAAATAATACTCGTCTTGAATCAAGCAACAGTCATGATGTGGACCATGTAAATGAAAACAAAGACTCTAATATTGCCAGTATTAAATATATGAAAATATTAAAAGGCATTCATCATAGTCATGAAACTGTACCGAGAAAAAAAGTCACAGCGTGGCTTGAGTCCATGGAGTGGGATGAAGAATTGGAAACGATTGAAACTAAACATAACAGACGGAGAAATATAGATATGACATCGAAACAGTGCCTCCCTTGTGCAACATATACTCTTGACCAATTAAACATAGAAGGAAATCCCTGTAAATCGAACATCGATAAAATTATTTCTGATGAAAATAAAATACTGAGTTTTTCTTCTGCTGAGGCAGATGAACACAGTAGAAAAACAAATAACCTTTTAACAGTAACTATGGACGTAATCAACGGAGCAGTTAAGTCTTTAAGTAAAGAAAGTAATGCAATGTCCAGTAAAATTTCCGAAATAAAGGCAGATAAATTTGCCAATCAAAATCTGAAATATAAAGGTGTACACTTGAGAGTGCAAGAAATTAACAAGAAGTTGTTTAATACTTTAGCAAATGATACTTCGTCCCGGGTGATGCAGTTTGGTAATCACAATAATACTGTGAATACAACATTATCTCCTTATAGTTATACTAACAACCAAAGAATGAACAAGAATACTTTATCAAAGTCAAGGGATACTGTAAGTGAAGATATTGAAGAAAGTAAAGTCATAGATGACGTAAGCAGTTTAAAAAGTTCAGACCGACACAACCTAAGTGGGGGTACGGATGGTTGGACTGTGATTATGAGTAATATTTCTTATGCTCCAATTGTTTCATCAGGTGGCGCAGGCAACACCACCATTCATTCATTATCTAAAACGAATGTTAATAATAATGATGGCTCTCATTTTTTTGAAAAAATAACTTCTGAACCTAAAATTATATCACTGCCAAATTCTTGTATTGAAGTCTCCCCCACGCAAAATGTCCAACGTATTGATCCTGATGATAAAATGCATAGTAATAGTTTAATACAGCGAGGTTTACAGTTGATTTCAAAAGACATTGACTGTGTGTCCACAAAAAATATAACTGCTAGGGAGGCCTGTGTGAATGAATCTGATGTGTCCAATCAGGCAATGCCATTACTGTCACCAATACCAAATTTCAAAGATCAACTCGTTCGACATTTTGGATCACCGAGTCGTATAGAGCGTGGACAAAAACGGAAATATGATTGTACTTTACAGGACGTTATGCTAGGTCCATCGAAATTAACGCCTGTAAACGGAAGAAGTTTATCGCAACAAATGGATTTAAATGATGCAAAGAACGAACCTTTCAATGACATTACAATTCAGAGTGGAACAGTTACTCACAGCCGTCAAATACAAACATCTCGAAGAATATCAGAGTTAAATATAATTGAAAAACAAAGATTAACTATTGAAGAACTAAAATTAATTATAGCAAAGCAAAAACTAACAATCAAAAATCAGGAAATAATTATCAATCAACAAAAATTAACTATTAAAGAAGAAGAACGAACTACCATTAGACGATGTTTTTCTGAAAGTCAAATTCCTTTAAAATCATCCTCAGTGTTGCTTCAGGTTGGAATTAATACGAATGAAACATTTGGGCAAAATGAGACACAGAAACAAAATTCCTCTGTTTCAACGTCGACGAATATGAAATCAATTCCTGTCAGTGTTCAAAGTCAATCCATTTTGATTCATTCAGATAATGAAGATCAATGTGACAATACATGTATTGAACAAGAAAAAAATGTTCTGGAAACGAAAAATATTTCGAAAAGTGGAAGCACCAATTTTATTAACAGTCAAGTAGGCGTCGTCGTTGATACGTGTGACGACAGAGAGACATCATTGTTAACAACAAAGAAAAACATTTCACCTTCGACTTACATTCGTTGTGACGAAAAGTTTACACCAGAAACAGACGGATCACACGAAGAAGTCAGGACAAAAAAACGAAAATTAAGTGAAACAAAAGGTTGCGTTAACGCTAAAGATTTCAAAGAATTCGTGACGAAAGTTCAGCGAATTCAAAACTGTTTTAGCATTCTGGAAAAAGATTTAAACCGATGTGAGGTCACACCCAGAAAGAACGTTATAGCACCCGATATGGCCAAATCGGGTGTTAAAAATATTGAAGGCATCGTAGATAATGGAATGTTGTCGTCGAACAGAGATACACCAAATTTTAAGGATCATATTATGAATTATCAGTCCCATGGCAAACTCGATACTCAAGATAGAATGGCTATGGAAGATAATTTCAACGAAGCAATGGCGAATGTGGGTATTCAATTTTTGGCAGGCGTGATCGAAGGTGAAAATGAGCAATCAACGACTTTTAAGACCAATCCGGAGCGTGAAACTAATTTGCTAAAATTATCCCAATCCACCAACGCATCATTAGATTCTGAGGATGCAATTGAACGAGACTCGCCAACGAGCAGGAAACCTTATCAAACGAATTTACACGTTGATTCATCAAGTACCTCGAAGAATTTAAAGGAATTTTACAATCTATCACAGTTTTCTAATAATTCGAATAAAGAACATTGCAATATCAATGCAACGCAAGACAGAGTTTTGTCGACCATAGATCACAACTCAACTTTTCACGGCGAAAGTAAACAACAGAGTTTAGTATCTCCCAAATTTAAATCAAGTCAATCGAAAACACAACATGTTTGCAATACAGCAATAAAAACAGCTGTCCATAATAATGTTGCTTGTATTGAGGCAAATAGCAGCACAGCTTATCAAATTGAGGAGCAAAATATTAGCAATAGGAATGTGGCTGATAAGAAGACAGCAGATTGCCAATCGGTGACGTCGTTCAAGATGCATAATCAAGACAAAGGAGTTTATGAAGAGTTGTTGCATGAACCTAGTATTTGCGAACGTCGCTCATTGATGAATACTGTAGAAGAAAGTATGCTGTTCAAAAATACCCAAGATAAACTTTGTGGCAAAAGCAAATTAAAAGTTGTACAGACACCTGCTATCAAAGAAATGAAATCGCAAGACGCTAGTAGTATGAGGACAAAGAAATCAGTTTTTATACATACTACTAATAAGAAAAATTATTCTTCTGCAGATTCTTGCAATAAGGTATAGCTATTATCCTGTTTATGATGACTAATCGTATAAAAATTGTATTTATAATATGAATTTTTAATCAACGTGGTACATTTTTTAGGATTATGACATACCATACAGTGAAGATGACGTTGTTGAAAGAACGCCTGAAAATAAACTAAAAGTGTGAGTCAGTTTTATTTGATTGCTCTCTCTATTTTTTAAACTGCACTGGTTGTTTTCTGTTATACAGTGTTCAACAATTTTCCAATTTGTTGAGTAAGATGATCCGAGATGAAAAAGTATGCAATGAAACGTGTTTAAAACTTCTTTTTATTCAAAAAATTGAAAAGATTAGTGTTTAAATGAAAAGGTTAGTTAAGGAATTTGAAGCGGGTCATGGGTTAAACTCTGAGTTATCTAGTATACACTATCTAGTACAATATATAATATATCCTTATCATTGAACTTCCCCACAGCAATATATAAGGTAGGTAAACGAAATGAAGTGAAAAGGAAAGGTTATGCAGTACCATATATTATATGCTGTTACGTCCGATGCAACTACACCCTTAAAATTTCCACCAATCGCCCCCTACCCTATTCTTTTGCGAGCAACATTGTTCAACGTAATCAGGTCTTACGCGCACCTAGCTCCTCCTTAGTATAAGCTAGAAATAATAATATTATTAACCATAGCATTGTAAGTCCATGGGAACGGTCCATTTACGGAATGTTCCCGTAGGAGCCCACCAGTGGGTGTAAGAGAGAAGGTAGCATAGGTTTGCACGAATCAGAGAACGCTAGGACCATGAAGTCCAAAGTACGTGCTGATAACGTGGCAAGACCGCGGGAACCAAGAGCAATCCGTGGTGGTCACACGATTCTAGAATACACCGAATCGGTAGTTTTCCATCCCTTCTGTGGGCCCAGACGCTCCTCGAGCTAGAATCGAGCAGCGAAACTTAGGAGTCTCTTCTAAACCAGTGACACTTTACTCTCATTAAAATTCGAGTCAAAGGCGAATTTAGTGCAAGTTTGTTGTATTAGCCAAGATACCTTAGGGCCTATCTTGTCTTCCTCACCTTAGGGTCAAGTAGTAAAACCCAATCAGTGAATCACGACAAGTTCTATCCCTTTTGAACTCAGTGTCCTTGTTTATAGCAACCACTACACTAGTGTCAGTGCCTACCCTAGCGGCGAGGACAAGGGCCATTTTCCTACAATTTGGATTACTTGGTTTCCTTCGAGAACCCATCTCAGCCAAGTTACCATACTTCTCTTTTGCCTTCACTGCTGAGCTCATTACGTTATCATTATTACCATATTACCATACAACATATATATATTGTGACGACATTTTTTAACGGTGACGCACAAATAAATGGCACCGCGAGAAATAATTAATAAATTGCTAAATTATTGGGCGCCAGGTATAACCAGAGTTACACCGCTGTCTCCTAAGGACACCCTGGCCAGTTCTTATGCGATGAAGTCCTGGGTTTGGAAGACAATAAACGCAATCTGGAAGCCAGGGAGATTCACTGTCAAAACTACAACAAACAAATACTGAAGTTTTCAAAATTAAATAGGAAGAGGAACAACAGCGGAACGATCTGCGCGGTTCCAATTCTCGCACACGCGAAATTATAACCGCGGTAGACAATAGTAATACGAAAGAGTCACGCAAAAGAAATTATACTACGAAGAAACACGACAAAGGGTAATACACGCGGGTTCACTAACACCAGTTCGAAAATCGCGGACACGAAAAGTAGCACAATAACTAGAGATATCACAATAAATCGTTATTACAATAAATCGGGGCAATAATTATCGTTGCCCCGGTAAGACGTTCTCGGAACGGGTAGTACAATTTCGAAATCGACCAAAGGCGCGACGTCGAGGAACGTCAACAAGCAAGGTCGCCTCGGCGGGCAGCTAGCGCGCGACGTCGGAAGGACGTGTGCGACACGCAAAATTCACAAAAGTTCCCAAGAGAATATAACGATGAACTTACAATAATGTTCGGCAACGATAATCAGATACGGCACACCAGCAAGAAATCACAAAAATCAAAACGGAAGATATCGCATACAAAAATAGGAATATTAAATTCGGAATTACCCTTCAGCAAGGTCAACGAAAGTTTAGCAAAACCAAGAAAAGTATTCTGTTTAACGTATTTCCATTCGAAAGAGGAACATAAGAGTATGCAAAAGAAAGACGGCGTGGGCTCGCCACTAAATTTAACCAAACTTAGGTTTCGGAAGTCTCACAATGATTTTACAGAAAACGAATAATAATTTGTCGGTAAACGATATCTTATATTAATTGGCACAAGAATATAATCGGCGGCCGGAGACTTTGGCTGTAGCACAACCAAGCCGGTTAATCCGGGGTCAAACACAAGTGCAGGCAGATTCCCACGTGTACACTAGGCGAAGATTCCAGAAAGTTCGTTAATTACAAAAGAATAGCAAACACCAAATCATACAGAAAAGCGCAAAATCGGAAACTCAAAAATATAAATATTAACGGCACTATCGTCCTTTATATGATACTGGACGGAAAGACATTCGCCCGATAACGACCAAGAAAATTCGTCACCGGTTAAACGGACGGTTTAGCTGTGCACGTGTATATAATCTTCAACACCAAAAAAACAGAAAATATTAAGGAAAACGAAAGATCTCGCCACAATGAAATAGAAACCAGAGCGTAAAGCTCCCAAGATCCAAAAGGCCCTCAAGGCAATATTCCTCTTTGTCTCTTTCTCTCTCTGTTTCTCTCTCTAGCTATCTTTGTTTCTCGATCTCCAATTGTTCTACACGTGGATCCGCTCTCAGATTTCGCACGACAATAAATTATCGATCGACAATCGTTGGCAAGCGGGCGCAGGTGAGGCGGGACGGCACCGGAATAGGACGAACGTTGACGAGGGTAACCGAGCGTCGACGCGTAGCGGCGGAAACGGCCGGACGGAATCGAGCGGCGATCCTGACGGCACGGCCCTCGAAGTACACTGGGCGTGGCGAGTAAGGAAGGTCGGCGGCTTCTCGGCCGGACGGAGGCGCTGACTTTGGTGATCGGCAGGCCTTAGGCGGGCCAGGGAGGAAAACCTCATCTCCCTGCCGGCCGTAACGGCGGCGGATATGCCCAGAGGGCAGCCCTCGCCGGCCGACGGAAACGGCGGAGTCCCCTTCCGGGTGCTCCAGGGCTTCTTTGGCGTCGTGGGAGCAGCAGGATCCCGGCGACATCCAGGTCGGCGGTACCGGCGGGCATCTCTTGGTCGGTGGAAGCGGCGTGCTGATCCCTCCAAGGTTGTCCTTTACGTCAATAATCTCAAAAGCGGCATCAAGAGCCAAACGGAATGGCCATAAAATCCTCCAAAGTCTTCAATGTGGCTGTCCTGCCTTCACGCCCTTTTGTCGTTGTCGAGAGGCTTGAGAGTAAAGATTGCGTATATCGTAACAAAAGCAAAAAGTAATAATTAGTCGTAGAAAACGTAATTGGACCTGACATCAAGGACGATAGTAGACGTTCACAAACGGAAAACTTAATAGTAATGTCGCATACGGAATTTCGCTAGTGGATTGTCGTGCGGAGTCTAGGTTGAGCGAAAAAGAAAAGTTTAATAATTTTTGTGGCGCGATTCGGGAGAATCACGTCACAATACATATATATATATATATATATATATATACATCCTTTATTTTAACTATTCTACATAAATTCTGTGCTCCCTTAATGGAAGTGGCGGGCCTGACGTAGCTGAACGGTCCCCGATCGTGCTCAAAGCCACCAGGGTCTCCCCGACGTTGGGGGAGGGGAGCACGTCTCCCCAGCCATCGAGCAGGAACCCCCTATAATCCCATAGGGGAGTCCCCGCCTCTTTCACCCACCAGTCCCTGAAACGAGACAGGAATACATTAGGAACCCGTCCGTGAAACAAGTAGATGAAAGCAAGAGAATAACACTCACCACCCACCGGCAACTGAAAAAAAAAAAACCAGCTGCCGCCGGCTCTCACCCGCGTGCCAGGGGGTTCCGAATAACCTCCAGAGCCCGAACGAGTCGGCGCTCTCGGGATTATTCGAGAACCCCTCAACCCAATCGGGGGTCGTCCACCGATCCCTGGCCTGTCTTTTCTGCATAAAGTCTTTCAACGTGCCGCGGCAGTCCTGAAAAAAATCAAAATTGAAACACACGCGGTAAAACACAACAGGAAAAAAGTGTTATAAATCCTGACACACTTACCAGTTTACGCAATGAAATCATAGGCACGATCGACGAAGAATGGGTCTCACGACCAAGACGCTGAACGAACCGCGGTCAGACGCAAGGGCAGCAAGGGAAGTCGAAGAACTCGTGCTAAGCATTCGCGGAGGTGTCCGAGCAAGAGAAACGTAGGACCAATGATAGGCAAATATTGTAATACCACCATCAGCCCACCGTGTATGTCCCTACACCCCATACAATTAGAGGACCACGGCAGAAGAAAACAACAATCACGGAGGGGAGGAAGCAAGGAAGCATCACCTACTGGCGATGTTCCGTCCAAGGCGGGAGATATTACGTTCGACGCAACTACACCTCTAAAATTTCCACCAGACGCCCCCTGCCCTATTTTTTGCAAGCAACATTATTCAACGTAATCAGGTCTTACGCGTACCTAGTTCCTCCTTAGTATAAATTAGAAATAAGATATTAATAACCATAGCATTGTAAGGACCATTTTTCTACAATTTGGATTACTTGGTTTCCTTCGAGAACCCATCTCAGCCAAGCTACCATAGTTACCATGGGAGCAGGTCAAAGTTGACCAATCAAAGCGAGGTGTCAAGAGAAACGTAGGCACCTACGAACTCTGAGTTTTTTTTCCTCGCTTTTGTTCCTCGGTGGCTTGTTTCTTGTTTCCAATAGGCATGTCTTCGGCTGACGTCATCCTGCCCGGAGCCAGCGAGAAACAAAAGCGAGGGAAGAAAACTCAGAGTTCTTAGGTTCCTACGTTTCTCTTGACACCTCGCTTTGATTGGTCAACTTTGACCTGCTCCTATTTAAAAACTATGACCTTCCGGAAAAAAGGAAGGTCATTTTCGTGATCAGTCGTGTCTCCTGAACACCGCCATATTCCGTTGGTCAGGTAATTTCGGAACACCATGTATATTATAACATGGTACCGGTCTCTCCCCCGCTATAATTAATTTATCTACAGGGCCACCAGGGAGCGCTAGAGGGTTCCAATTTCCAAAAAATTAGGAGTTCAGATCGTGAATCGAACCCGATACCTTCCGGTTGCTAAGTCGGATACTTACCACTGTGCTGTCGAACCCACTGTTCGACCTCATAAGTCCTATTTATTTATTTTATGTAACTCATGCATGAAAAATACTACTTTTCGTGCCTCCGAAGTGTGGCGAAAGTGGCGCTTTATATCTATGGATACGATAAAAATGCTGCGCATGCGCAAATCGGCCCAATTTTACATTATCGCACTAGTGCTTTCTTCTCGCACTAGTGCGATAAAGTAAACTTTGTTCTCGCGCGCTGTCATGAAATGCATTCACTTTGGAAGCCTTCCTTGCTCTTCTTATGGCTGCCTCCTCCAACGAAGAGATGTTCCACTCACTTTGGAGGCACAAAAAGTAGCGTTTTTCATGCATTCGTTACAAAAAATATTATGCGATACTGGTACAATAAAGCAAACATTATACGCAGTTCGTGAAGTTTGTCACACTTGTGTGCGGCTCGTGCGACCAACTTCACCGCCTGCCTATAAAGTTCGCTTTCTCGCACTTGTATCGCAAAGTACTATTTTGATCATTCCTAGGTAGTATCCTCTCCAGTTCTGTGTCGCCACATCATAATACAGGGTGTCCCAGAATGACCTTAACACCGAAAAGTGGGTGATGGCTGGAGGTTTCTCGAGCACCTTTCCGCAAACCGTTTGCTAATAGAAGTATTCCGAGGACAAAGATAGTAGGCACTTGTGAACTTGGATATTTGTTCTTTGGCTTCTAATCTACGGTGGCTACGTGACGAGTGAAGCAAGCTCTATATGCCTTTGTATACATATTACATAGTCAGTGCAGTGGTTCCGAGAGTGACAGCGAAACACTGAATGAAAACTGTAAAATCTTAGACATAATATAATATGAGATACACATACCAGCTTCGTTGTGATATTATACGAGGGTTTTACGTATGCCTTTCTACATTTTGAATACTATTATTACTTATTGGTCTATATTAAATTTCATCGGTAAATAGCACAATAGGAGTGAAATTTTTCAATAATTGAACGTTTTCACCACTGTGCTGTTAACCTTTCCAGAGTGTTTTGTACGTTCTTGCTAGACTATACGTTAAATAAAACAAAGGTCACTATTATTACGTACTTTTATGTCCTAAATACTACCATACTCTGTGAGTCTGATAAATTTGAGACTAGTGCAATATTTTGTTAATAATTATGAACATAAATAATTAAAATAAGGCATTACTAAAAGTTTTCATCTATATTTATATAATAAGTAGAACGTTAATTAAATGAGTTATTGCATTTTCAGAAGTCCACACGCTCCAAACAAAAGCTCTCCAGAAAGCTGGATGTCACTGAATTTGACACCAATTCCAAAAATAATGAAAAACCCATCGATAGCAACTCCAAGTATGAATTGCAAGAGAGAACGACCAGTAGCATCATATAGTAATACAGTCTTGGCTTCTAGTTCAAAGGTTTTGGAGACACCGAATCGTGACAGCAGATTATTTATGCTATATGAAAGTACACCAAAAATCTCGTACACAGCTAGAAATAGTTGGGTAGCACCCGAAGCCCGTCTTAGAGAACGGAAGTCTCAATTGAACCTAAGTACAACAGGGACATTAACGTGTGCAAAATCACAAATATGCAAGTCAACGTCTACATTATGTTTCTTATGCACCGCCTTGACCACCGAGCAGATTAAAAATGTGCAACGTTTTGCTAAATTAGTGGGTGCTGAATTTACTACCGTTTTTCACCCAGAAGTGACGCATGTTATTGTTGCAACAGACTCGGAAAATAATTCGATTCCCAGAACGTTGAAATATCTACAAGCTATTGCGCATAAGAAATGGGTCGTATCATATTCATGGGTTTTGGACTCCCTGAAACAAGGAATTCTACTCGAAGAGGAAAAGTATGAACCTGTGGACGTGTTTTCCAGCGAGCCGGCCTCGAGAAAATCGAGACTGTACCAGGATGCTCTTTTTGAAGGGTTTGCATTTTTGTGTGTTGGACCATTTGAGGGCGCTACTGTTGAAAATTATGAGGTAAGACCGATTATTAGAGACTATATTATTCTTGTTAATTGTTTACTAGTTTGTGCATCCACGTAAAGTTTACAATACATCAATTCATAGTACGATATTGGTTATCAATGATCGATAGTAGAAACCTGGATATATAAATATATTGAAATAGAATATACATTTGTGCATGTTGACATAAATATCGATACGCATGGACAGTTTGATTACACATTTTTCATTGCTGTACTGTCTTTGAATATTTCCATTTCGATTGTTATTTATGTATGGATTAGGTTAGAAAATGATTCAAGCTCCTATTACTTCTAAACGAAGAAACTTTTGTATGAATTATTCTTTCCAAAATATTGGAACAATATAACAATGTACAATGTTACGAAGATATACCGAAAATATATTAAAAATTGTAAGTTGAATTTAGAATATACACGGAATATTGTCACTGTTTATATAGTATTTTGTATTTTCGCAGTATAGTGTGTGTGTGCGTGTGCGTGTGTGTGTACCTTTTTTCTTGGATGCTGCAAATTTGGGAATTTCCTTGAGCGTATACTTTGGGGTTATAGTATAGAAAAAATTCCTTGAAATACTATAGTCAGTATAATATTCCTTGCTACTTTGATAGTAGCAATTTCTGTATTTATGAGATTTCTTTTCATAACTTCAGTGTATTTAGTTTGACAATATTTCGTATAAAAGTTTCTCTATGTATTTCTGCATATCAGGTATATCTTAAGAAAAAGGTACAATATGAATATTGAAACAATGTTGTGTTCTTTCTATTTGTCTATTTAATTAACTATGTAATGAATGTGAGAATACTTACATGATACTCTTAGCTGATATTCCTGCAGTGTATGGTAATGTTTGTCATTATTAAGAATAGATGACACACTGAAACAGAATAATTTGTATTATTTAGGATCTTGTACGTTGTACTGGAGGACATGTCGTTCAAACACTAGATGCGTTAGCAGCATCGAATCACCAGTGGAAATTCATTATAATTCCTGATGTTATTCATGACAACGAACTGATTGGTGAAATTTATTCTTATTTACATTATTAATTTTATTTTTGTTTTGATATATATCTATAAGAGTTTTGTTTTCATCCTATAGGTTGGTATCGCAGAACAAAAGCAGTGCCAGTACTTAATGAATGGCTTTTAGAATGTATCAGTCAATATACAATAATCTCGCTTCACTCTTTTATTCGCGAATTAACATCTCAAGATCTTTTGGAATTAGGATTTCCGCTGGGACTTGTTGAGCCTGAGGAAAGCGATGTGACTAATGATGCATCACCTTAAGATTACTAACTTCTGTTGTTAATTTTGATGGGCTAGTTTTTGTTGATGTCTTAGGAGCTTGTTTGTGAATTGTGCCATAATCTATTGTAATTCATTGCAAAGTTTGGATTATGGCAGTTATTTTTCATCGCATTTATTGTCATTATTATTTATAACATTTTTTAACTGGATTCTATCATTAAGTTTCGTTAATCATTCAAATAAAAAGATACACTGTAAGTTTACGCTATAAAAATGTGTCAGAACTCCTAACAATAGTTTATTTATTATAACTTTTTCTAATAATTGTTTACATATATTTAAGGATTCTGTTTTACAGATTAATTGAATTGTGAAATTGTTGCGTACAAAGTGCCTATAGTCCGTTAATGAGTAAAATGTGTTTTTTTTGCAGATGGCAAACAATGCACTTCTTAGCAATTCATACGTGAAATTCCATACAATTACAGAAATATATGCTAAATAAAAAGATTTAATATACACTACCGGTCAAAAATTTAACTTCACTTGCTTTATTTTTGAATTCTACACAATTAAGTCGGGTACTCAGTGAATTTTGTCAAGCACGTGCGTTTTACCTATAACAAGTCGATACACGCTACTGGTCAGAGTGTAGAAGGGAGTTTGCCGTGTTTGGGAGACGCGTAGATCGAGCACAATCTTGTTATGACAGGTTGCATTCTCTCGATGTGTCTATTGAATATTACGCGTAAGAGAATATTAGAAGCCAGTGTAAAATATGGGGGTGGTGGAGTTTTAGTATGGGGCTGCATGTCTGCAGCTGGTCCTGGAAATTTGAAAATAATCGACAATATAATGGATAAAATGGTTTATTTGAATATTCTGAAAGAAAATGTGAAAGACAGTGCAGAAAAACTTGGCCTTGGTGACAATTTTTACTTTCAACTTGACAACGATCCTAAACATACAGCCTATTTAGTACGACAATGAATAATCTATAACATCCCTCATATTCTACAGACTCCCCCACATTCTCCTGATCTCAATCGACTTGAAAATTTATGGGCAGAACTTAAAAATAATTTAAGAAAACACGATATTAGCAGCAAGACCCAGTTAAAAGAATTATTGCAACAGGAATGGAAAAATATTAGCCCTGAGTTCACTCGAAAATTAGTAGAATCCATACCTCGAAGACTCAAAGCCGTAATTAATTCCAAAGGATGGCCAACCAAATATTGATACTGTGTATCAATAATCGAAATGTCAGCTGCACGCAGACTTTTTCAAGGGGATGTTCGAACCTTTTGTACTTTTTTGTTTCTATCTTCCTTAATTGAAAAGAAATATGTGCTGTGTTGTGTTCCTTGTTTAGTGGACACAATGGCGTTTATTTACGTCTAACAGGTATTTACTATTTTTATTTCTTTAGTAATACATAAATGATTATTTCAAATGTTACGTACTGCACGCAGACTTTTGCAAGATCTTGTATTTTATGTGTCAATCGTAGAGAAATGGGTCGAAAAGCAGAGCTGAGTGTAGAGACATGAGCAGTCATTGTGGCATTACACGAAGAAGAGGTTATTCAACGCGAAAAATTGCTTCTAAATGTGATGTTTCTCAAACTACAGTCATGGGAGCGTTACAAAGAAAGCGAGGTGAACCTAAACTTTTGACCGGTAGTGTAATCCAGTACAAAACCGTATACATGCATACTTTGTAATAAAAACTGTATGCAACATTTTATCATAGAAATTTCATTGTTTTGTATGTCACAAACACACATTTCACTCATTGATCACTTATAGTAGTGAGTACCGTATAAATCAGAAAAAATTTTATGTACCAATTTAAGAAGTAAATAAAATTGAAAATTATCTGCGATTTATTTTTTTACTATTAAATAGCAAATAAGTAATATAAATATGTTATCCCTAATGATTAAAAACATTATTGATGATAAGTTATTATTTGGAAAAGTTATTCAAATTCATTTATACAATAATAAATGGGAGCGTTATGGTATTACCTTCAAAATTTTTAACTTTTTATCGAACTAATTGCTGTTTCTATAATCAGTAGAGTCGGTAGCGTATTATAGTTTCTTTCTGCATTCTGAATAGCAGTCCCATTGGATATAAGCAGAGACATGTTTCACGATTCATAATTTAGTGTATATTATTATTACGCACAAACGAATGCAATAAAGGTAACATAACGTAGGACTTGTCGTCAAATGGTATCTTCCATCCTTTGCTCGGACTTCGGACACCGGCCACATTTGTAATCTTGACATAGAGCTTGAAACGACTTGAATATGCAGAACATCGGAATTTACAGGTTTTTCATATAGACTTCTCAAGCGAGTGAATTTTTTACCAATGACATACAGTTCGCCACTGGTACACGCAATGATATTCATAATAAAAAAATATTTATCATTCGACAGAAGACAATAGCTGTTTTTACCGTCACAGCGAGTCGTCATTTTATCGTTAAACATGTTTTTATATCGGCACTTTACATCAATTCCATCTAATATCGGTCCGTCATTGTGTGGTTTTTCGCATCGCATTTCAGAATTTTTTAATCCGTGTTCCGTCATTCGCTCAACTACTTCCATTTCGTGGAACCTTCTCGCAAACTGTTGCAAAGTTTTATCTCCTTTTCGGATAAGTTTTTTAAATGTTTGCATATAGTTTTCAAATCGAAAGCAGCTAAATTCATCTAATGCGCCGTATTTTCTGACGTCTGCAGCGATATGTAGCAAATTATGCATATTATACGACATATATCGCTTACCGTATATTTTTTCGAAGTTTTGCGTGAAGTGTACTAATAATTTTTCTGCGTAGTCTACGCAATCTCTGTTCGAAGCAAGATCGGCTCGAGTGAGAAGCGTGACCGCCACATGTAGTGTCATGAAGTTGTCGTAAACATCGTGAGAGACCGTCTTGTACAACGCACGGGGGGCTAAATACAAGAGGAACATCTCGAATTCTTTGGATTTCCAGTGTTGGAAATCCTTCAAAGCTCGTGGTTTCCTATCAAAGTCTATAGGGAGTGTTTTTCTAACTTGAGGAAGAAAATGTGTAAATGCTTCCTCTATCTTGTTGGACAATCCTCTGTTATGGACGCGTTTAAGTAGCAGATAAATCAGTTTTTTCGTTACCCCAAGACAAATAACGTGCATATAATCATTCGGGACACTGAATACGCATCCAAAATTCGGTATATCTTTCAAAATAGTATTCCCTAATTGATAATTATTTTTGTACATTCCACGTGCAAATTCATCGTCAGTTCGTAAATTCGACTGTATTCTCTTTGTTGGAAAACAGGCAGTATTTTCCACATATTCTCCGTTTATGGTACACCTTGTACAACTATAATAACCCGCATGGCGCTTTACTGATAGTACAAACGACTTTGCTGGGGTATCGCAAAATAATCCATGTAAATGAACTCGTACAATTCGTGATTCATCATTAATTCCATGATTTATGAAATGAGTTATATCGTCAACAAACATTTGCAAGAACTCGTTAGCCTCTCTCGGCTTCGAGTATCCATGAAAAATTCCGATTACGTGTACCTTTTTTGTAATATTTTCTGAACATAAAATAGGCCACAGACACGAGGAAGACGAGTCTGAAATTGGTAATCCATCAATACCAACTAGCAAGTCGAGTTGTTCAATTTCATTGCTTGTACAACGTTTCACATCAACTAAGATTCTTTTTAGTATGTCTTCAAAATAACAATGACAGTAATTGCCATTACTGAGAGTGACTATATTTGTTGACCTCGGTGTCTCGAGAAGTGTGCGCGGGTCAACTGGGAAGTTATGCTCCGAATAACGCCCTAAAATTGGCATCAAGTGGTACAATGCCCCGTGAGAGATGTCGAATGTTAGAGCCCAAGAACGGATTTCGTGTTTGAATCTTTCCGTTTTTTCAGTGGGGCTCAGTTCCGTAATAACATAAATTGCTTCAGTATTATCGATTTCATAATTACAATTTGATGAATTCCCGTCGCTAGATTTTCTAAAACAATCGCTACGAAGACTCGAATTGATAGATTCACAATCACTGTTGCTTACTGTCTCATCAATAGCTTGTTCAATATGTTCGTCTATATCCTGCAAAGTATGACCAAGTTCGGGTTCACATCGTTCTGTTTCGGCGTGTGCTTCTGAAACTGTATGTCTATGTTGCTCAGTATTATTATCGGCTTTTCGGTAATCAGAGCTATGATCGCGCGTGACAGAATCTCCGCTTGGCGTTAATGCGTTCAGAGTTTTCAACTCGGCATCGGTCTGTGCCTTGAGTAATCTTCTTATGTGTCGTTTACCATATATTTTGCCTTTGGCATATTCATCCATATTCTTCAACAATACAAAACCAATGATCGCCAAGTAAAGGAGTACTCGCATAACGTCTTTACTCTGCAATAAAACATTGTACAGTTTTCAATTGCATGAAATTGATGTTTACTACTTTTATAACACTAGGTTCAAAGTTTTTATAAGCCAAGATATTTAATTTTGTTGTGTTTTTTTTTATTGTTGAAGTAGATTTTTGATGGTGAGACTCCATGTTTTGAGAATATACATTTTTCAATCAAAAGCTTGATTTTATTACTATTTGTATCACATTAACGCCGTTTCCACCACATGCATCTGTTATGATATTATTGAAGCTTCAGTACCTACCTCTTTTCCTGTATTACGGTAGACTCTCGGCGAGTAGCCAAGAAAAAGTATGACACAATAATCTGAACCAAAAAAAAACGTTTAGTTATGAGAGTCCGATATAATCACGTTTTTTCAATATCTTTTTCACGTTTTATAAGAGACTTTTTATTGTAATAATACGGGCGAATTATTAATGAAGCAGAATTATCGACACTTTTCTGAGGACCTCGTGAACAGATCGTAAGCATGTGGCAAGCTCACGTGGCAAATCCGGCAAGATCACGCATTCGTTTCAACGAAAGCGCAGTTGTCGGATGCCAAAGTAACAGACACGGCAAATACATGTATCACACGCGATGCTATTGGTCGACCCTGTTGCCGATATGCTTATAATGCCGATTTGATTATAAGTAAGTATTTATTTTTTAAGATAGTTCATCAGTAAACTCGTAATAACGTGAACCTACTTGTTCTTTTGTCTTTTATAGCGAGTGTACATTTTTCGAGTTAATTGATATCGATAAACCCGAACTTGATCGTCCTACTTGAGCCATTGCGCCATAGCGAGTTGCTCAGTGTCTTTTTTTCTTTCTCTTTCTTTCCACTCAGTTTCCAATTATTTTAATGAATTTATTGTCGTTGATGGTATCATTTCTTTTTATTGAACTCCTAAAAATGAATAACTCAAATCATTGAAAGATAATTGGGACTTTACCGGACAATAATATTTGCGTTAGTTACAGTTGAAGTGTAGTTCTTGTTCTCCTCACACTCTCGAACTCGCTGGGTTTCCTATACTTGATACCATAACCCCTCTTGTTGAAAAAGTCAAATTATAGTAATATTATTCGCGGACTTTACCGGACAATAATATTTGCGTTAGTTACAGTTGAAGTGTAGTTCTTGTTCTCCTCACACTCTCGAACTCGCTGGGTTTCCTGTACTTGATACCATAATCCCTCTTGTTAAAATAGTCAAATTATAGTAATATTATTCACTCTTTTTAGAAGTAGTCCGAACACACAAACCTCAGGCCACCGATAAAGAAATCACAGAAGCGAATAGTACGTGGCTATCACAGGCCAAAACGCGTCGAATGCGAGAAGAGTGAGTGTCTGAAATTTTACATATTGTATTACTAAAAATGTAGGGCATGCAATACACTTATAACGTCAAATATTTTTTGAGTTTCACGTTACCCCCTTGGCGAAAATGTTTCACATTAAAATTTCATATACGACAGACATTCATAAACAATTTTAAAGATTTATATAATTATATATTGAATTGCAGAGCCAAACAAGCGAGATTCCGCGCTGAAGAACAGAAGGAGGCATCTAGAAGAATTAGAGAGGACAGCGAATCCGAGATGTAATCTCTTGTGAAAACTTTCCCCAGATTTGAATTATTTTACTTTTTTGTTTGATATTGTTACTTATGTGTATGTACGCTAAGGCGATTATAGAAATCTATCTATATTTTTGTTGATCTGCGCATCGAGGTTTTCGTTTCTTCTCATAAAAAAAAGGTGTTATATGTCATTAGAAGGACATATTTAAATTGCACTATTTTGTTAACGATAACGAGATTGAATAGAAATTCACATCATACCATATTCATATCACATTGACAACGACTTAATACTAAGATTTCTGCAATATTTCAAAACGATTCATATCATAGTTTTGTCCGAATATTTTAATACGTTTCAGGAATTATTTTTTTTATTAGCAGCGTTTTATTAAAAAAATTGTACCATCTTTAAAAATATTTGAAAAAAAATGATATGGAATCATTTCAAATGTTACAAAAATATTAAAAAGCAATCGCTTTTAATATGGAAAAAAATGTTCGAATGAACATTTGCTAAATATTTTTTAAATAATAAAAAATAATCATTTTATAGGTACTGTTCTAAAATATTTCTGCCACCTATAAAAACTGTCTATGATTTCAGCAATATATCAGAAAGTTTTATTTATTATATTACCCTGAAATATTGTGCAATATTTGACATAAAGACATCAACAACATTGCTGTATAATCATTTTATAGGTACTGTTCTAGAATTATTTTTTTTATTAGCAGCGTTTTATTAAAAAAATTGTACCATCTTTAAAAATATTTGAAAAAAAATGATATGGAATCATTTCAAATGTTACAAAAATATTAAAAAGCAATCGCTTTTAATATGGAAAAAAATGTTCGAATGAACATTTGCTAAATATTTTTTAAATAATAAAAAATAATCATTTTATAGGTACTGTTCTAAAATATTTCTGCCACCTATAAAAACTGTCTATGATTTCAGCAATATATCAGAAAGTTTTATTTATTATATTACCCTGAAATATTGTGCAATATTTGACATAAAGACATCAACAACATTGCTGTTGCAATGAAATATTGGAAATATTGTTGTAATGTTTTCGAAATATAGTGTGCTGTGTGGGTTGGCTTCCTCATATAGGGACTTCAAAATTCAAAAACTTGAATAGATGTAGAATCAGCTCTGTTTCGCCGATCTCCGCCAAATTTGATACATATCACGGCTGAATGATGTTCTATACTTTTGGAGAGTTGGAGCTCAATCAGTCAAAGTTGACGGGAGTTGTATTGATATATTTAATTTTTCGAAAAATTCAAAATAAAATAAAATCAAAACTTCTCGATGGATTTGGCCCAAATGCAATACCAACCAACCTTGGATACAAATCTCTTAGTCAAGAACTGTTTAGATGAGTATCACAAAATTTGGGATCGCTAGAGTGATAACGTCCTTTTTTTGGGAATTTGAAAACGACATAGAATCCGAGCCGGAGCACACACATACATCCAGACATTTTCCCCAAATGTGTTTTGGCACTTGTTTGGAACATTCTGAATATGGTAACATGAAGATGTCGAAAACAAATTTTCCACCGTCACATAACTTCCTCTGTGAGGAAGCCAAACCAAAAATCTGTTATTTTCGAGGGTACTTTTCGTCGCTTAGGAATGAATTCTTTTCTGGTAAATGTTCAATTGTAATTCGACGATATACAGAGATACGAAAGAAGTTAAATATCGTAAAACGCATTATACATTTGTACAGCAATACTAGCGAAGAAGTTGAGGGTTGTTTTCACGTCTTCAGTACCAGATATAAAAGAAACCAAAAAACATATAACGGGTAGTTTTTTATGCTCTATACATCTACAAAGTAACATTTCAAACGAACGAAAAACCTCTTAGATATGCATAGAAAAGTACATTTTTAAATAAATAATTCGCAATTTATTCATTTATTCATCGTCCTTGTGATAGATGTATAGTACACAAAAACTTCCATAATTTTGCAATTTACATCATTTTTCTATTTCGCTCTATTTACGAGTTATATTCGAAAAACTTGAAAAATTTGCAATTTTTAACGGTGCATTTCACTCCTTAAAAGTGGGGTTTCGCTAAAACAAAAAAAAACACGTGCCAAATATGTATACTAACTATGGAATCCTGCACTTCCATAAAAATCAGAGATTAACACCTCGCGCGATTTCCTTGTGAGTCTGAAAGTCGATTTAAAGGTCAAAATGGATATACGTAAACTAAAATTGAACGTGTTTAAGTGATATTCAAATAATGGCGAAGGCATAAATGCTACACGTATAAATCATACACATGTGTATCCTACATGTGCGTATCCTACGTGTACATACATATACAGCACGTTTTAGATGCCATTTGGACGTATCCTATATGTTAAATATCTTAAACGTTATAAGTACGGACTTGAAGAAATCCTACACGTGTAGTCAGATTGCACTATCCTATACATTTGGTCCGTTCCGAGTGGGACTCAATTCTATAGGACAAACTCTGCACAATTAATTCAACACATGTAGGATTTCTTCATGTCGCATATGTATATAATGTTTAAGATATTTCATATGTAAGATACGTCTAAGTGGCATCTAATACGTGTAGGATTTATACGTGTAAGATTTATACCCTCTCAAAAAATGATTACAATGATATTGAACCCTATCTCATCGTACTTTTTCCGATGAATCGAAGGAAACATTGCATTTTTACTTGTTCTTCATGACACATTTTTAATGTTATAGTTATTCAAACTTTATTTTTGATATTGAACTATAGTTTATTATTGTTAGTCGGAGTATGGAGTTTCAATTTTACTATAATTAAACCTAAAAATAAGCATTTATGCAAAAGTTATAAAGTAATGAAAACGTCATCTGGCAGACTATACGTGACGGCCTAAGTGTAAATAAATAGGTGTGATGATCTATGGTTATTTAAAATGTTTACTTAACCAATTGAAGTTTTAATTAAATAAGTATTCTATGTTTATTATTGTCTCTAAATTATATAAATTTGCAGACTTATAAAATTATTGATAATTACAGTGTGTTTACATTTGAAAACATTATGAATTTCAAGTTACGATAACAAGGTAATGCTCAAATTTTTAAAAATCCAGTTCACCATGAGTCATCAAATTACTTAAGGTTAGATTGAAAATGCTTTGTAAATGTGTGTATGGAAGTATAAAATAATTTAATTATTATGGAAAAATAAGAACGCTGTCGCTTATGAAAATTCGAAATACTGATTGAAATTGATATTTCTACAATTAATGGTAAATCTGTAACTGACTTTTTGAAATAGTGTCTCAATAAAATACTTTAAGCGTAACCAGGAATAAATGTTAAGTGTGGTTTAATTAAAGAAAAAGAGTTCATTTAGAATTATTGATATTGACTTGTAGTAAACGAATCCTATATTTGGACATAAGCAAATAAATATAAGGTTACAAAATATTTGGTTATAGTAAATAAATAATTCATTTGCGAGAACTTAATGAGTTAATTAAATTTATTTATTTATTGAATTGTATCGATTAATGATATAGTTACATCTAGTAATTAAAATTAATTTATTTAATATATTGTTTTATGAATCTATTCAATGAACTAAAATTGCTTTACCGTTATTAAACAAATATTTAATGTTAACAAAACGGTTTCTAACAGACTATATCCCATTATTTATTTATAGTAAAATCGTCTTTTGTTCGTATGAAACAAATGTGTCCAAATAAATGCCATATTTACAATAAATACTTTGAAGATAAATATTACGTTATATTTGTTTAGAATCACTAAATTTGTTTCTCTTAAATAAATAATCTACATAAAGTGGCATATAATGTGTTTCTTATTCATAAATAAAGTCTTTTTTCAGTATATTTCAATGTAACTAAAAAAACGTCCTGATGTGTTTTGCTTTTCATAATTAACTTAATAAGTAAATAGGAATAAAAATATAACATATTAAAAAATCTAGAATACCTTTCGCAATTTTTCAATATTTAAATTCGTCTTAAATGGTAGAAACAGG